GTTTTAGAAAATATGAAAAAATTCAAAAATAAAACTCTAATTAGCATACTGTGTTAAAGACAAATGCTGCAGAGTGGGTGCTTGCTAACCCTCACAGGTCATAGGGTCCACAGACACAAACCCAGACTTGATTGAGCAATCTGGGCCTTTCCAAGAGCAAGAAATTAAAAATTCAAATGCTTCCTTTTGAGACTGCCCAGTGACCCAGGAGATGTTTGTTGGATTTGCCCAGTGACCTATTTAAATTGGAAAGCTGTACTGTGTGCAGAAATTTCAGTGTGGCATGTTTGGACAGTTCTGCTGTCAGCCAGATTGCCTCTGGGCTTCCAAAGTTACAGGGGCATAGTCAGAAATAAGAGTTCTTGGCTCACAACTCCAAACATCTGGCAAGAGTCAGATCCTCTGAAATAACCCGGTTTTTAATCATCCTCCTGGAGTTGCTATGTAGGCGAGCACAGTGCTGGAGACTGAAGAAGGCAGGTTAAGGGATAAGGGAGATAAGGGATGGATAAGTCTCTGATCCTGGGAGCCTCAGAGCCATGCATGGGCAAGTGGTGCTGGGAAGACATCTCCCCTCACATTCCTCAGATGGAAATTACCATGGAAAAGATTAAAGGCAGCAGGAACTGTTTGTTTCACTGCAGCGACAGAAAGAACTGAAACAGTGGTACATAATTGATACTCCATTATTCTTTAACATGACTTTGCTGCCAACGCTGCCTGTAGCATCCTAATAAGCCTACAATCACTGGACCCCATCCCTGCCCAAAGGGATGCGTGCATCTGTTTCAGCTCTGAGAACTGTCCACCCCTTGTTTACTAACTATGAGACTTCAGAAAAAAAAAAAAAAATGTTCTTGCCTGGGGATGGATTGCTCCCTGCTCAGGTTCCCAAATACCCTAGCCCCTTGTTTACTAACTGTGAGACTTAAGGAAAAAAAAAAAAAGTTCTTGCCTGGGGATGGATTGCTCCCTGCTCAGGTTCCCAAATACCCTATGACCAGACAGTCCTTTGTGCTAATACCCATGCTCCTGTTGAGCCTCACCATGAACAGCTGATGACTCCTGGCCAAAGCAGTTAACCCTTCCCTCTCCATCCTCTGCAGTTCCTACTCCATCTTAAATACGGTGTCATCCAGCTCTCTCACGTTTGGTGATGGAGTGTTAGAGCGGCGACAGTATGAGGACCAAGGACTTGGAGAGACAACGCCTCTCACCATCATCTGTCAGCCCATGCAGGTAAGGTTGATCGTGAGGGTCGTGCCACATCCTGGAATCCAGTCAGGATGCTCTGAGGATCATCCTTAGCACTGACCTTGCTCCTTCCAAAGGGTCCCTAACCTTATGGGGAGACAGTACACAAGATCATAAAGGACACATAGCAGTCCAAAACTTGGAAGAGAGGGATGAGTGGTGCTGCCAATGGTCTGAGCTTGGAAGCAAGGCCATCCAAGTAAGGAAGAAGAGGCTACTAATATTTATATCAATAGAATGAGGTTCTTAGCATAGTTGTTGAACTTGAGAATTCAGGGTATTGATAACACTTTGGGGTCAGGCTAGAGAAAGGAGTAGGAGTAGTCAAGTAGAACAGAGACAATTTGAAAGTTCGGCATGTTAGGGATTTGAATTAAAGAACATCTGGAGAGCGGGTGCCAAAGTCCACAGCACCAGTCCACACATTAGCCCTGGAGAAGCAAAAAGGAACCAGTGGAAGAGTGTTAGCCAGCAAGGACCTAGCAGCCCAAAGCAGCTGGGAACATTTGATGCATCAGCAAGAAAGATGTAGAAACATCTATGCAGTTCCACCAGCAGCTGTGGAAACCAGTAGTTGACTCAACTTGCCTGTGTCACCATTGAGAAGTTGCAGCTTTCCCCTCTAGCCCATTTTAGAAATACCAATATATGTAGTCAGATAACAGAGCACACATGATGACTAAAATGTGCAAAATGTGGCTGGATGGAGAGATGACTCAGCAGCTAAGTGCACTGACTGCTTTTCCAAAGGATCCAGGTTCAGCTCTCAGCACCCACATGGAAACTTATAACTGTCTGTTATTCCAGTCCTAGTGTGTTCTTCTGGCCTCTGTGGACACTGCGCATACATGGTACACACATATGTACATGCAGGCAAAACACCCATACACATAAATATTAAGTAATAAAATTTAAGAAAAAAGAATATGCAAAGCAGAGCACTGGATTTAAACTAGGCATGAGACAGACACATGTGTGACAATAGAATTCCTCCCTCCTTGAAGAAAAATGATGGCACATCTCTTTGGAGGAAATAGTGTCCTCATCTCTACATTAAGGACAGGATGACCCTTGAACTCTACCTTGAGTAACCCTCCTGTTACAGTAGGGGGCAGCAAAGAGCATAGCACTTGGACATTCCTTCCTACCTCAAAGCACTTGAAGATGTCTCATGGGCTCCTGAGAGTAACTTGCTGGGTCTATAGGAGGAGCTTATTATCCTCACTTTATAAACAGGCCAAACTAAGCCCAAAGCAGTCAGAGAGATTGTCAAAGTCATACATTGGCAGAATTCGTCCCAGAGCTCTGCTCCCTTGACATCAGGGTAGGTCTGTGGTGCTGTGTGTATGTTCACTCTTTGCCTTTCTTTGTCTGCAGCCCCTGAGAGTCAACAGCCAGCCTGGGCCCCAGAAGCGATGCCTCTTTGTGTGTCGGCATGGGGAGAGGATGGATGTTGTATTCGGGAAGTACTGGCTATCCCAGTGCTTTGATGCCAAAGGTGAGTTACTGTAGTCTCTCCATTTATCCAGTTTGACTCTGGTTTCACTTACCCATAGTTAACCATGGACTAAAACTAGTAAGTGGAAAAGTCTCAAACAAGCTGTCTTTGTCAGGGTTTCTGTTGCTGTGATGAATCACCATGACCAAAAAGCAAGTTTGGGAGGAAAGGGTTGATTTGACTTTCACTTCCACATTGTAGTCCATCATTTGAAGGAAGCCAGAACAGGAACTCAAATAGAGTGGGAACCTCGAGGCAGGGGTGGATGCAGAGTTCATGGTGGGGTGCTGCTTACTGACTTGTTCCCTATGGTTTGCTCAGTCTGCCTTCTTATAGAACCCAGGACCACCAGCCCATGCGTGGCACCACCCACTATGGGCTGAGCCCTCCCTCATCAATCACTAATTAAGAAAATGCTCTACAAGCTTGCCCACAGCTCAATCATATGGAGGCATCTTTTCCATTGGGGTTCCCTCCTCTCAGGTGACTCAAGTGGATAGAAAATTAGCCAGCACACAAGCAATTCATACGCTTCATATTACGATCCCTGCACTCTGGGCAATGTGATAAAATCCATCTATGTCCCACCTAGTTAGTTCATCATCCCTTTGTTCAGTGTATCCACAATCTATATTGTACCTACCTATTTCTTGCCTCGTATCATCTTAGTTATCAAATCTACTGTCACAGTAGCATTTGCTTCTCTTCATTATCACATAAATACAACACCCTTTCAAAGGAAGTCCAAATCCACTGCAATAAGATATTTTGTGCGAGACATCTCTGTAACTTGCATTACTATATATCATTTTATTATTCCTCATTACTGTGGCTGACTTATAAGTTCAGTGTTATCATAGGTGTGTTTTTTTGGTGGGGGGAACATAGTCTGTTCGGGATTCATCACTGTCTATGGTCTTTGGCATCTAGTGGGGCCCTTGGAATACATCACCTGTCTCTAAGGGGTGGTAATGAATGGCCTACACAGAAATACATACCCATAATGGCCTCTAGGGGGCACAGGCAGGCTACTTTTATGTACATATAGTCATCATGTACATGCAGTTACAAAATTATTGGACTCTCAAAGTCCTTCTTGATTGTTCTAACTTGTAGAGGACAGATAAACATTCTTGTCCCCATTCTATAAGCTGAGGTACCAGGGAGCAAAGAATAGCTGTGTCTGGCCCATATTCAGATGACAAAGTCAGTTCAGAGACCTGTTCTGATTCTGTGACCAAGAGTTCCTGCCATGACATCACCGTGGGCCATCTTGTTCCATTCTCATTTGAGCGGCATTTTAAGAGTGGCAGCCTTGCCTGTGTCAGGTTGTTATGTTCTCTGAGAAATCCCTTTATCATTCAGCAGAAGGGAGGGTGGATTCTA